TCAATATCAGATATTATTTCCTCCTTCTACGAAAAAATCACACATCTACAGTACATGCATACCAACACCAATGACGAATATGATTTGGTTTATCGACTACTGATGTCCATGCTTAAATCTTACCTGGGAATAATGGATTCTTGGATATTCGAAGGAATTATTCAAGACAAATTCCAAGAATTTATGCTCTCGAAAAACGACAATTTGAATGTTGAAACACCTTTATTTTGGACTGAAGGATTTATTCAATCCAAAATTCCAAACATTTTTTCCAACACCAAGGATAAAATTATTAGTATTGGAAAATCCATTATCTTGATGAAAGACATTGAAACCAAGCACGAAATTACTTTGGACACAAGCTCCATAGGTGACTACATGTTGGATAAAGAAAAACCTTCTCTCTATAGACTATTAGAAACAGCCTTGGATTTGGATTCTAGAAATGGTGATGTAAACCATGAAAATTTTCATGCATGTGAGACTTTTAAAACGGAAACATCTCCAAAAGCACTGACACTGTTACGATCAATCCATAAACCAAGAAAAGATAACACCAACGAAAATTCTAACACTGTAGAGCTATCATCTCCAATTTCTATTTGTTCTGAATCTATTCCAATTGGTTCAATCCATTTTATGAGATCACCTCCAAAAAAAAAACGAATGTTATCCCTCTTAGAAACTGAAGACTTGTACAGCAATACTATTTCAGATCCAACCGATAACAAGGATAAATCATTCTTCTCACTCGCCACAGACCCCTTTAGGTCAGACGATCAAACAAGCAATATTTTCAATTTGCTGAAGAAAAAGAGTTTATCAGAAGTGATTGACTTTCAGTGCGTGTCAGACAATCATTACATGTCTTCAAGCAAGATACTTGAACAGCCTATTGAAATTAATTTTGAGTTAGGTCTTTTTAAGAATATTAAGGAACAATATTCACGCATAGCTCCCTACTTGTGCAATTTGATAGTTTATAGATCGAAGCTCATTGACCATCTCACAGCTATTCGAGCTATTTTTCTAATGGAAGCAGGTGACATTATGGACTACTTTTCAACGCAGTTGTTTCATCTTTCTGATCGATTCATTGCATTCGATTTTCGCGGTATTACCACATTTGACATCCAAATGATATTGAGAGATACTTTGCGTCTTGGAGTAGAATATCCAAGACGATACTCTTTTGCAACTAACAATTCTACCTCTTTTTATACTACCGACGTATTTTCATCTCTTACTTTAGAAGATAAAATATCTGTGATCTTCGATGACACCAAGATCAAGATCGAAGATGGAAACTTTTTTGATGGGCTAGTATTTAACTTTGAATTAGAGTGGCCTCTCAACGTTATTATCTCTACAGAACATGTTCAGCACTACAATGAAGTGTTGATTTTTAATCTTAAACTTAAACAAGCAAAACAAGGTATGTTAATGGTTAAAAATATTTAGTCAACTAACGATTTTCAAAGTATTGGAAATCATGAGCTTGAAAACCGACGCCTTTGTGCATAGAGGAAATGCCTATCTCAAATTTTATAGCCTCTTAAACCAGTTGAAACATTTCATAAGCGCTGTTCAGTATTATATGATGAATAGAATATTACATACTTTGTGGAATGAATTATGTGACAATGTTCTATCGTCACAAGATCTTGATGATTTACGAAATTATCACCAGGACTATATGAATAAGATTAAGGATCGATTTCTCCTCAAAAAAGCACAATTTGTGAAAAATCACATTTTCAAAGTTGTGCAAATTTGCATAACACTTCGCACAAAATTGAATAACTTTAAGGAAACACAAAGAGAAGATATATTTTTATCAGAGTTACTTGAAATGGAGGACGAGTTCAAGAAAAGTTTCAAAATGTTGCTTACCATCATTAACAGCATCCTTTCTAGGGGCATTCATGAACACTGTAAGTTGTCGAAATGAAGCACAATTTTGTATTTTGTTTAACAAATGGCTTGCATTGTAGTGGATGATTTGAGAACGAGACTTAACTTTAATAATTATTACCATTAATAATTAACAAAAGGATCAAAAACATCAGAGACTAAATAAAATCGAATACCCTCCTCATTTTCGTCACGACATAGTTTCTTGGCAGCCTCTGCTGACAACAGTAATTCTTTTGCCAATATTGCGCTTATATTCAGCAATCTTGCCAACGTCACAGCAGTAATATAGCAATAGGACATGGCATCCTTTTCTCTTCCCTCTCGAATAAATGATTCTATTTTGTTGGCCATTAAAGTGTCCGAGTATCGAGAGGATTGAATGACTACAACGCCGCTTTCAAAAGTCCTTAACTTCATTGGTAGTTTTAGCTTTTCAAATAAAGAACATGCAATTTGCATGTCTTCAGGAGAAATTAAAGCAGTTCCTCTGGCTCTGTTGTATAAACAAAAGGCATCTGTTAATGTGATCACTCCTCCATATCTCTCTTGGACAATGTTGTCGAGAAAATCTACTAGTTGTCTTGCTAGTTGTTGATGGTATTGAGCTCCACTGGATTGTTTTGTGACTGGGGAAGACAGACCCAAGTTCAGTAAGAAATCTAACATTTGATTTTCCTCTTCATTTTCTTCTGCCGTATTGTTATGTGTTACGCTCTTATTTCGTTGTACAATCTTGTTTTTAAATGATTCCGCTAAATTAACCATATCTTCTGCTTTTTCCATGAGCTTTTTCAGATCTGAAAAGGCTTCATCCAACTCCTTTCTTTCTTCTAAATTCTCCTCGTCAATTCTTTTCATGATACCTGCAATACCTGCAGTGCTTGTTTGAAAATTCTTTGGTTTTTTGCTCATACTTTCTAATGAGTCCGTAGATGCTGACACCATCGATCCAAGCGAAGACGACGTTATTGTTGGTGTCGTAAACAATGGAGTTGAGCTTACTGTTGGTAAACTTTCTAACCATTTCTTTTTCTTTAATTGCTCGTTAATACATTCCACAAACTCGTCTCGCTTCCCCTTTCTAAATGAAATTACTATTTCGCCGGTGACATCTTTGGACTTGATTAGAATTTTGGTTTTTGGTGATCGGAATAATCCTCCACCTTCTTTTTCAACTCTTTCCACGATTGATAATGAGCATGAAAGCCCGTAATCATAAGAAACTCCATTATTGCCAGATGATTCCGCATGACTCAAAAAATATATTCTATGTGTCGATAAATATACATGATTAAAATCTTTCATTTCCTTTCCGTTATTATCGATCAGAGCAATTCCAACAACAATCATATTTTCAATTTCCTTCAGTTCGGAAGCATACATGGGTCTTCCTGCTGTTGTTAATCTACATTTTTCAAATCCCTTGAGGGCAAATAAATTACCGACAGGTTCAAATGTACTACTACTCAATGAAGCCTCTGTGGTTGTTGTGAAGGAAGAAGATAAAGCTTGATGTTGTGGTGATAACATTTTTTTCATTCAACTAACTCTGACCAACCCTTTGTTCTTCTCGTGGTCTTAAATTACTTCAGCTGGCTTCAACAGAATGATGACCCAACCTTTCAAAGGGACCACTCCAGTCCATGGTTGCAAACTCGGCTCTTGCGAAACTGTTCATCATTAGCAAAGCTCACATCCTCACAAAAAATGAAGAGAGAGATTTTTTCAAGTCTGCATCATGATTCTCTCTGCTCATCAAAACGTGCGCTGCAGCAGCTCTTCTCAGACACACAGCACAAGTGTCAACACACACAACAACCATGGATGGTCCATAACAACAAGATCTTGAATCATCATCATGATCGTTTGAACGGTAAGATGAAACTTGGAGTATCATCTTTATCGGGGCGGTCTTTATCCGAAACCAACTGCCATCCAAGCTGTTCCAATAATAATATGATAAGAGCATCTTCATCATCTACAATAACATCATCAGGATCTCATGTTATGGAACTCCTTTTAACGAACATGCGGGTGGTGATGATCATCCTAATAATGATTTTATTTATTTACTGCACGGATTTCATGAGTGCCACAACCATATATTACAATTACAACACTCAAGAATGGAATGATGACAAAGTGACGATAGTGGATTGTAGTAAAGATTTTATGCATCCCATGATTATACGGAATGGAACTGTTTCATCAACGAAGATGAATTTTATAAGAGGGGCCACGCAAGAAGAGACAGGAGAATGGTTCAACACAATCTCAACATTGCAAGTGGACTTGAGAAAATTCGTTCTTGATGAAAGCCATAGATATTTAATAGGTCACTCATCTGGATCTGACACTTTAGTGGCAGACAATGTTGTCTCTAATATTACTTCTGGAATAACCCAAGCCTTTTGGATCATTTATTCTCAATCGTCACAGATCTCAAGGATGATCAAAATTGGTTCTGTCTCACGAAATACCAAATTCTATTTGTATACACTAGATTATTTCTTTATTCATGGCTTAAGACGAGTGGGATTTGCTGGCGAACTTCCCGCTCCCTATATTTCTATTGCAGATAACAACTACAAGCCCAATGAACATTTGATGATATTTCAATTTAGTGTGTCACAAGTTAATGCCCAACCAACTGTCAATAAGATAGCAGAACTACCACCTCCATTGTTTGTTCCTCCAAGAATTTCGATACCTACAATTATGGGCAGCGTTCCCATTGTCATCGTCAAAGATATTGTCTACGGTAACGATGCTACACTTTATTTTACTGGAGTTTTCAACACTAAAATTCAATTTCTGGATATTCTGACCACTATAGATTCAAAGAAAGAGAGTTCGGTATTTTTTGGAGTGCTAGATCCCAATAATGGAACTGTTGTATTTATCACCAAGATTGAACCTACCTTAGCTATTGAGTATAACTCGGTGAACGTCAACTTGATGGAAATATCATCGAATTATCAAGAAATTTACATAACAGGTACTGTTCAAACATTTCTGGAAGATGTAGGATTTGTTCAAAAAGTATTCATTGCAAGTTATGACATTTCTCAACCTTCTGCTCCAGTTTTGCGCTGGAATCACATTATTGGAATTGATGGAGCAAAGTCCATTGATGATATTATCTGTCTAAATGGAAAGCTCATCATCAACGTTTTACTTGCAAACTTTAGCAATGTTGTTACTCAAATTTCGACGCAAGATGGAGCATTTATTTCAGCTCTACTCATTTATGATAGCCCATATTTTGGAGTACGTACCTCTCTAAATGCAGACAAAGATTTGGTGGTAGTTGGAAAGAAAGGAAATGTTTTTGCAAACATTGATTGGGATAGTTTTATCACTTTTGGTGTGCCTAGCTCGGTTACTCTGTTTTCACAAAAATTCAAAATTAATACCATTCAAAACAGTGACGAGCTCATTCTTGAAGAGGTGTACAGAGAGCCAATTTTAAAGGGCTCTATCATTGCTACACAATCCATAACTTTAACTACAGACACCTATAATCCTAGAAAATTCTATGTAGCCACCACTTTTAGTGGTAGTGTCCAAGTGATTGGTGACTCCAACGCCAGAATCAATCCTGTTGGTTTTTCAAACGCTCTTATATCCACAATCATTGAAGGCTGTGATACCTGTGAAAGTGAATGCATTATTCCTTTGTGTGGTCCCTATACGCAGGATGATTCTAGAGCTTGTTCTGGAAGAGGGCGATGCGACAGTCCAAATTCATGCAGTTGTTCACTCTCTACCTTCTCAGGAGAAACCTGTCAATACCCTATATGCTTTGGTGTGCCTCAAAACTACACTTCTGTATGCTCAGGTAATGGTAGATGTGCATTTCATGACTATTGTGTCTGCAATGATGGCTATTCTGGAACTAACTGCGAGATTGCAAGATGTTTTGGACTCTATGCTACCAATGACTCTGTTTGTTCCTCTCACGGAGATTGTGTTGCAAATGATATTTGTAAATGTTTTTACAATTACACAGGGGAACAGTGTAGCTTTGAAATCGTACAGGGATATACCCACTGTGGTGTGGGAAACTATCTTTATAATCAAAGCAGTGCAGATCGATTTGTAAGCCCCATCATGCTCTATGGATTTCCACCATCTTTATACATTTCCTTTGATGCCCATGGACAAATATCATACACAGGCTATGGCATCTCTCCAACGTTACATTCTTTAGGCAATGGTATTTCTGTCAAATTCGGAAGCGTATTGAACGCATCTTCAGAATTATATTCCTCAATTCTTCTTATTGATCAGAATAACACATTACAAGAAGGCATTGTTGTGACAAGCGTGACATCCGACGATTATTCAAACACATGGATTGTTGGTTGGAAGCAATTGCAAGTATTTGGCTTAACTCAATTCATTGGAGTATTGATAAAATTAAGCCTGATGGAACCATTTCGCATATTAAGGAATTTGGAACGTCATTCCCGAGTCCGTACGTCTCTCTGCAGATAGTAGCATGATATTTATCACTGGTGGATATAGAGGATCTGTGGAGATTGACTCTGGTTGTACTGCTACCTCATCTTCACTTGTCAACACCATCGTATTTCAATTGTCGTCGTTTGAACTCTTTTGTTTGTGGATGACAACAAGTGAAGGAATGTCCAAAGGTTTTTCAGTGCTTCCAGATGCTGTGGACAATGTTGTAATTTCAGGAATTTTCAGAAGCGCCGTTAGATTCGAAGATAAGCAAATTTTGACACTGATCCAACCGTATTATCATATTACATTTTGAAATTTAGCCCTATGGATTTAGCTGGCAATAGACGTGTTCTTTGGATTCAATCGATTACCACAAACTCTAGCTCTGACGACAATATGAAAACATCAGATGAGTTCTTTACCTCAGAGTTTAGTAGTGTACTCAAATTTGATCCAATCGTAATATTTTGTTTTCTGGAGAGTTTGGATCATTTGTGTCGTTCCAAAACACCACTGTGACCAGCCAGTACGATAGAAACTTTTTCTTGACCAAAACAGATTCTAATGGATTTTTGCAGAGCATGCTGACCTTTCAAAATGTTTACAACACTTCCTTTGATGTCGATTCTAGTGGATATACCTACGTGACAGGAGTTATTAAGGTAAGTGACAATCAATACCAAAACATAATTTTTATTGAAAATGATCTATATTGGTATCATGATAGCCTGGAGGTTCTAACATTGGAGATCCCAATGAAAAACAACCAAGATTCTTTGCCGCAAAGTACTGTGTCAGAAATCATGAAAGATGGTACAAGGAACGACCTTTAGATAGTCGTGAAGTTTATGCCTCCATTTACTCTGCCTACAGTGAAATGGACAGACTCTATGTTGTCGCCTTTGTGAACAAGACGCTTCCATCACTTCCAACTATTTACACCATCATGTTCAAAGATGAAGAATGTCGTCAATGTCCAATAGGAACGTTCAGTCCTAACACTGCAGCAATATCTAATGATACATGTCTGCCATGCGAACCAGGATATTACAGCGACACGGAAGGAGCTCCTATTGCACAGCATGTCCTGCCACAACGTACAATCCTTTGAAAGCATCGACATCAAACAATTCTTGCTTGTATTGTGATCCTGGCTACTTTAATGATCAAGAAGGCCAATCTGCTTGCTTTAAGTGCGATGTTGGAACTTATGCACCAACCAAAGGGGCACGAGAATGCTTGAGTTGTGATCCAGGCACCTACGCCCCAAAGGATGGGCTTTCCAGTTGCTTACCTTGTCCTCCTGGCCAATATTCAGATAAATCTGGAGAATGGGCTTGTGAATCGTGTCCAACTGGACATTATCAACCGCTCTATGGACAAAATAGCTCAGAGAGCTGTTTAAAGGTATGTTTATTTGGATGAATTGTTGAACTGAGAATACTAATTTTTTGAACGATATACACACTACATTACATGTAATCTTGCTAATGATGTGTCGTGTTGTTGTGTAAAATTAGTGTCTACCTGGATCGTTCTCTTCCTCAGTTGGTAATGGTAATTGCACGTTGTGCCCTGCTGGATTTTACAACCCCAATCCAGGAAGTTCTACTGCATTGGATTGCATTAAGGTAAGAAGACTTTTTGTGTAATTTACATTTCTTGACTTTTCACACATTGTTGTGCTTAAAAATTCTACAAAATTAGTGTCCAAGTGGACAATATTCAAGTGCAGAAGGGTCGTCACAATGCACAGAATGTGACGTTGGAACCTATAACGAAAACATTGGTTCTTCAAATGCCAGTAGTTGCCTACCTTGTACACCTGGAACGTTCAGCAATAGAAAAGGACAGGCATCATGTACCAAATGTGCTGCTGGAACGTATTTGTCAAAATCTGGCTCCTTCAGTGAAAGTGATTGTCTTTTATGTCCCATTGGTTTCTATTCTAACATGAGCGGCTCATCATTTTGTTTTTCATGCCCAACAGGTTCAACGACATCATCTGCAGGTTCTCTAAATTCAACAGCATGCATTGCATGTGAAAAAGTTTTTTCCTTAACAAGGATCATCAGTGCACCACATGTCCATTTTCCACCTATTCTGACATTGAAGGCGCCATACAATGTTCGATATGTCCTTTGAGTTTACCTACTTTCACAGAAAGAAACACATCTGTGGCCGCATGTATGGTAGTTCCAATCATTATCATTGTTTCATTAATTGTCATTATTGCCATTGCTATTCCACTTTCAATATTTGGTTTTATGTTCCGTCGACAGGCAGTGGCTTTGAAAAGAAAGAAACGAGCAGAAGATGAAATGCTTTCTAAATTATTGGAACATAATACCAAGTCGTTTTATGCATCTACGGACACAACCACGCATCAAACTGCAAATCTTATACCAATTGAAGATTTAGAATTTAAAGAAAGAGTTTCTGAAGGAGCAGGAGGTGTGATATTTAGAGCAGCTTGGAAAGGTACTGAAGTCGCTGTCAAACGAATCAAATCGAATCAATTTGGTAGTGACGACGATGAAACATTTGAACACGAAGCTAGTATTTTAATTGGACTAAGACATCCAAATGTTGTCTTGATGATGGGTGTTAGTGTTGACGAAGACAACAAGTACATTATCACTGAATTTGTCAAAGGCGGTAGTTTGGACAAGCTTATTTATAACAAAAAGAAGGCAAAGAATGAAATTATTACATTTGGAAGAAAATTAGAGATACTCAAAGATATTTGTAGAGCTTTAATTTATTTACATAATACGAGACCACCAATCATTCATCGTGACTTGGTAAGTTTGAATTGAAAATTAATGCAACTCTTCCTCTAATTTTCTTTTTAACACAACAGAAACCACAAAATGTCTTACTCGATGAAGCAGGACTTGCAAAAGTTTGCGATTTTGGTGTTTCAAAACCACTATCCTCTCTCACCATGACAGGTGTTTGTTATGGTACTATTCAATATACCTCTCCAGAGATTTTGAAACAGTCAAGAAGATATACCACCAAGTGTGACGTTTATAGTTTTGCCATTCTCATGTATGAACTATTCTTTATGGTTCATCCGTACAGCGATCTTCCAAAGTGTCCTGTTTCGAACCACACGAAGAAGAGCCTTGCTTTCTTGACATCATCCAATAGTGACTCGTCTTCGCCACATCTTTCAGATTCATATTCTGGATCGGGCAATTCAGGTGACACGACCAACAACACCAGTGATATGATTAGTATTTTTGCCATTGGTAACGATGTGATTCATGGCAAGAGACCAATGATTCCATGGGAGAATACTCTTCCCTCACTGCAGCAACAACCTCATGCTCGACCAATTCTTCAAATTCAATCCTCTCCTACAAATCTTGATTCCACCATTCTCGATGTCAATTCTCCTACCATCATTGATGAAGATGTTTTGAAGCTTGAATGGTATTTACATTGCAACAAGACTGTGAAAAACTCTGAAATAACCAAACCAGAGTCACTGGTCCCAATAATTGACTCGTTTATTTCAATCATGAAAGCATGTTGGGCAAATGATGACACTGAACGTCCTGATTTTTCACAAATATTGGATTCGCTCGAACAATTGCACAAAGAATGGACAGAGGTGCTGAATAGTCAATGATTGAATAATCCTTAATAAAACAAAACAACCTAAAAACGATGAAATGAACCTTAAATTTGACTTTGGGAACTTTAGATTCTGCAAAAATTGGAATTTGTTAGAAACGTAACTGATTTAATCAACTTGAGTTGTGAAATCATATTCAATGGTTGGTATCACTGAAGAAATGAATTTCAAGAATAAGAAAAGATACAAATCAACTCTCACAAATTGTTTGTCACCATCTCCACCTCCTGACAAACGATCAACCATCTTTTTCATGACCTCAGCATGTCTGCATGGATGAATACTGGCCCATTGAGTATTCAAATGTGGATGTTGTTCAATTGTCACAGTCTTATTTCCGTAATCGGCATGAATATCCTCGAGAATTTTTTCAGTTTCCAATTTGGCACCACGTTCATCATATCCAAAAAGCCAAACTCGTGGAGTTTGATAATACTTGTCATAGGTAATACTCAAATCATAGGTTCTCGTCTTGAGAATATCATCTCCGCTGTTGGCCTCGAGAGCTCCTTTATCTTTGATAGTATCCTCAAGTTCCGAATCAGAATAATTATTAATATCAATGGCTTCTTCGTCATCATCTTCTTCATCATCGGCCGTATGAACTACAAGATCATTTTGAGCCAATGCTGATCCACTCTCAATTTCTCCAATTTCTTCCTTCTCCTTTGTTTGATTCACGTGAGTAGCAATCCACTCGCCATCTTCCACAGCTTCTTCATCCTTTGCCATCTCAATCAATTCGCTGCAACGTCTCAAACAAGGAACATTTCTCGTGATCAGAAATTGCTTCTCGGCAGGAAGATAATCCTTTCTTTTGGAAGATTCACCTGCGCTCCATGACCATGTTGGACATTTGGAAACGAGTAAATCACCAGCCTTTTCAAATTCCTCTGGGGTCAAAACACCTCTCTCATAAAAGTGAGATTCCTTGGGTACATCAATGAAATATTCTGCAAAGTTTTTAAAGAGAGAAAAAGCACGGAAGGAGGTAGATCCCTTGCCAGTACTGTTGTTTGATGATTGTGCTTTGGACATTTGTGTGATGATGGTGAGGTCTTTGTGTAAAATTGAATTTTTTTCTGATAAAAGATGGGGTTGTTTCCCGGAGTCTTCTTACAAGGGTAAACGTGAGCGCAAAATGTGATCAAAGGTCGATAGACTCGATTCCAAAGATGCTCTATTTTGGAATTAAGGGAAATGATGATAGAATAATTTATTTATTTCGAACAATATTTAAAAAATGAGCAACAAAGCCTTTGACCACAATTTTAAGCTGGTTGTAAGTAACGATGATGTCGTTGTTCTTTAATTGTTTTTGATGATCGTTTGTATCATGATGACCTCAACAATCGCTTGATATTGTGTGATCGGAATAGATGGTTGGCGACAGTGCCACTGGAAAGGTGAGTCATCTATATTCCGAAAATCCTGATAATTAATGATCGATGGATATTATTGATAATTATTTAATTGGTAAAAATAGAGTAGTATAATTACACAGTTCACGGAAGATGAGTTCAAAGAACAAATATCCCCTACAATCGGAGTTGATTTGTAAGTTTACACATGGAGAACAACCATGAACATTTATTTTAGATTTTCAATATCGGATATTGTCACATTGTAGTAAAGTAAAATTTATGACTGTAAACAAGAAAAAAGTGAAGTTGACAGTATGTAAATTCTTCATGAAGATTGCCGCATTACAGTATTTCTTACAAGATCTTTGATACAGCAGGACAAGAACGGTTTAGTAAGTATTAATATCAGTATTGAATTGTTTGAGTTTACATCAACATTTCTAGGAACACTAACTTCTAGTTATTACAGTAGGTTTCATAACTAGCAATTATTAAATGCATTCAAAAATCAAATTCAAAAACCAAAATTCTAAACCACAGGAAATTCTCACGGAATTATTCTCGTTTATGATGTCACTAGACCTGAGACGTTTGATAATCTAAAAAATTGGTTGAAAGAATGCGACTTGTATTCAACATTTGAGGATTGTGTATGTAAAAATTATGTTGGATTGTGTATGACTTTACATTCATGTTTTACATTTCCGTCGTTTAGGTAAAATTATTAATAGGCAATAAGATTGATCTTAAGGTTGGTTTATCAATACCTGTCCCACGTATTTACTAACACTTAATTGAACCCATATTAATTCCGTTACGAAAGGATGACAGAAAGGTCACTGTCGAACAAGCTCATAATTTTGCAAAATCAAATAACATGGTCTACATTGAAACATCCGCAAAAACAAAAGAGAACGTAGATAAGGCCTTTGAGGAAGTTGTTTACCAAATTCTGAACACGAGTAATCTACTTGAAAGCACTGAACCAGTTCGCAACAAAGCACAATCCTCTGACAATGTCAACATCTCCAATACAGAACCCAACTCTACTGACTCGTATGGTGGAGGCTGCTGCTGGTGATCAAATTATTCTGGGAGTTTGTTGTTGTCAGAATGCTACAGTAGTTTTATGGTATACGGTGAGAGCTTTAAAGCCTTGTAAATAAATTGTGCAAGTTCCAAGTGCAGCTCGTCTCACTGTCTCACACAGTTCGACTTTAAAAAAATGTCGTTTGGTGCTCTTCCCCGTGACATGGCTCGTGAGATTGTTTCATTTTGTGATGTGGAAACGGTTCTAATGAAATTGTGTTTATTGAATAGAGAAAGTCATCGGATCTTATTAATGGACAGTTATGAATTATGGAAGGAACATTTACTACTCTTGGAAAACAGCATCTATCAAGAGCAAACAGCGCTGGAGCAAAGTAATACTGTTCCACATCATCAAGCTGCAAGCACAAAAGAACCCACATCAATTTTCAAAAATAGAGACTTTGAGTCAATCTCGAGTGATTATTCAAACAATGATTGTACTAAAAGCTTGGTAACCTTCAAAGTATTTAAAAAACAATACATTTATAGAAAAGCAAGAAGATTAAAACATCTCTTTAACTCTGATAAGAAACCTGCAGAAGATGACATTCTAAAACAAACTGCACACGAAGAAGTATTTCGTCTCGTTAAACACGATTTAATCAAGTACATAATCGAAAATAGAAGTTTTAAATTATTTGACCATGCTTTCTCCACAGATCCCATTCCATTTTTAATTCGTTTTCACAGCTTTGATCCATACATGACCAAGTTGGATGACGTTTATAGGCTCATGTACGGCTCAAACACAATTCCTGACTTGAAGCAAAGGAGCAAATTCTATTGGGCTTGGAAGAACCATCAGAAAAACCTCACATCAGAAAAAGTTAGAATAGCCATGCAAGCCATTGGTCACCAATATATGAAGAGCACTGGAGAGAAATTGCTAGTTGTATGTTATTACCAAGTTCCATTCTCGCAAAGTTTGAATACAAATAATGAAAAGGAATATTTGACTGCAGATGAACTTGTGGCCAAATCAGAGCTTACTGTTGACCGATTTTTGGAAGTCTTTGTTGAAGCTTGTTGTACCTCAAGAAAAAAGCATTATTTTTGGCATGGACCAATCTCCCTAACAAGCGAGCAAGATGTGTTTTCCCAATTTAAATCAGTAGTTAATGGAAAGAAAAAAGCAGCTCTTTAATTTGTATGGTTCGATTCGCAATATTGAGAAAATTGGTATTTCTGATTTCAATCTTTCACAAAATCCATTCAATTAAAATATTGTCAGACCAACCAACCTCCGACAAGGATTTTGTTGAAAGAAAAAATGAGCACAAAAGCTTCGGTGCCATTAAACGGTGAAGACGCCACCCCTCGACGACCTCGCAAGTTTTTAAAAAGAACATCATCTAATGGCTATAATGGTCATCATGCGTACGAAGAGAGCCGCAGCATGATGCAAGACGAAAATGGAGGTATTCTTTCATCATCCACATCAAACCGAACAAACACCACAACAAAAAAGCGAAATTTTGGAACAAACGGAAGCCGAAAAGAAGAGGTGTCTGATGACAGTGAAGACGAAAGAGATATCAAAAAATATCAAAAAGAAGAGCAAGGTGATGACGACATTGAAAACACGGACCAGTTGAGTTCCTATCTCAAAGGCTCCGCTCAAATAATTGAACAAAGAATACCGTTTGTAAAGGCTCAGCTCCCTGACAAGTATGAAAATCTTTTTTCGAATATGAAACCAATCAATGGAACGTCCAACAATGTGTTTGTTTTTGATTCGTCATCTAAAACTACTTCCAAGTCCACTAACGGAACAGCAACAACATCCACCTCCTCATCATCAACAATACAAGACAATGGCATTGAACATAATAAGGAATTGGAGACGCCATCAACATTTCTATTTCCGAGAGAAAAGATCATTGCTCTTAACACATGGACTGAGATCAAAAAGATTGGCCCTGGCTTGCAAAATCTAGGAAATACTTGCTTTATGAACGCAGCTTTGCAATGCATCATGTATACACCAGGTATGCGTAACTTTTTACTCACAAGAAAGATGGGAGAGCCTTCCAAAAAGTTCAACGCGCTTGATGCCATGTCAGCTTTAGCTAGAGAGATGTTTGCTAGCGACAAGTCTGAGTCAACATCGGCTAGAACAAGAGCCTATTCATCAATAGCACCTGCTTTCATTGCAAAACACTTGAAAGGGATTGGTGGTTTTGTGTTGGGCAGACAAGAGGATTCTCACGAATTCATTATCAAGCTTCTTGACAAGATGGAGAATGCAATCGTGGAAAAATACAAAGGAAAGCTCAATAACATGGTTCTGGAAACAAATCCAATTCACCAGATTTTTGGTGGCTACCTAAGAAGTCAAATCAAAACTCAAGAGACAAACTACATCTCAAACAAGTACGATGCATTTATTGATGTTGAACTGCAATTGAATAATTGTAGTTCGATTGAAAAATCTCTTCAAAATTACATTACACCTGACCGTTTAGATGGGAAAAACAAGTACAAATGCCCTAAAACAAACACCTATGTCACAGCCTCCAAAAAGCTGACAATTCATGAGGCTCCAATTAATTTAATTCTTCAACTTAAACGTTTTAACATTTTTGGAAAGAAAGTAAGCAAAAAGATATCCTATGAAGATACTTTAGATCTATCCCCATACATGAGTAACAAAAATTCTGTGGCGAAATATCATCTCTATGGAGTTTTAGTGCATTCTGGTGGTTCATCATGCTCTGGACATTACTACTCCTATGTCAAGAATAGTAATGGAATATGGTACAAAATGGACGACTCATCAGTCACTCAAGTTAGTCAAAGCACAGCACTTTCCCAACAAGCCTACATTTTATTTTACTCGAGAAACATGGAAGACTTTAATCATATAGAATCATCTACAATTTTCCAAGAGTCTATTCAACGATATCGAGAAAACAAGAACGGAATTTCCTCCCAATCTGTGACTCAACATAAGGATGTAGAAGACACCATTGAGTTGCAAACTCCTCCAGTCTCTTCCTCCAACATTATTCCAACAACACCTCAAAGTAATGGTCAACCATCAATCGAAGAAAACGGTCATCACTCTGTCACACCCACCCAAAAATCCCGAAGAAAAGTATCCAACCTTGCCATTCAAACGAATGGAACATCCTCTTCCCAAACTGCAGACTCGTCTACTCCTACTTCAGGCACCGTTGGCACTCCTCAAAAATCTTCCAGTTCCAAAAAACCAACAAACCTTACCATTCCATCCTCTCATGTCTTAGCACCTGAACTGCCATCACCATTTTATGCACCAGTTAAGATCGATGTATTGCAAAATTTAACACCACAAAAACTCAACTGCTTGAAAGCTCAAAGACCTTCAAATTCTGTTGGCGTTCTCAATCTGCGAGGTGTAGGAGGGTTATTTAGTCCAATTTCTCTCACTAATGCAACCAACATCAATACTATGTGGATCAATAAGAACTATCTCGATACTCTTAAAAAAGATATATTCAAAAGAGAAAGATTGTTTCGTACTGACACACCTTCCACGCCTCTCAAAGTTATAAATCCCAATGATGGCACACCCCAAAATCCGTTTGCTCTCGAGAACTTTGTTTCCGATTCTCCTTTATTCTCACCAACCTCACAAATGTCACCATCTGTTTTTGAAAAGAAAGGCACCAAGAGAAAGATGATGGACGATATCAGTGAAGAAGAGCAGCAACACGAATTGAATGAAACCACGAATAATACTTTTCAAGAAGATTCAAAGCAGAGCAACACATCATGTACCAAAATATCTGCCAAGGACCTATTCACCTCTGCATCTGCCCAATATTCTGAAGAGGTAGATATTTGGGAGAATGATGAGGCTAGAGAAAATGCAAAACAACAACGATACATCAATGAGAAAGTTCTGGCTCCAAAAGTTTTTAAGAGAGACGAATACGATCGTGCTTTGGATGCAGGTAAAAAGAAAAAGATTCGAAAGAAAGAGAGCTCTGAAGACTGGATGCAAATCAATGAAGCTATTCAGAAAACAGCAGAGAGAAAGCAAAAACGAAAGTAAAAAACAATGGATTGGAACAGTGGTGAACTTGAGAACTTTTTTGATCGCAATAATTTAAAAAAAAGCTCCAGAATGGATATTCTTGACCCCTTATCACCATTCGACGAATACGTTCCTGCTGGCAACACAACAACGCCACCATCATCATCATCAAACACCCAACCACAAGGTGATCAAACTCCGATCACACCCCAAACACCTTCTGTAAACTTTACAGAGCTCATCGGTCTTCAAGACACTCATTCCGAGATTGAAAACCCCGAAGCTGCCCAACAAAAGTTAGCTTCTCTCTACAATCAAGAAGAATTCTCTGATATTGTTTTCACGATTGGAAGAAAAAGGTTTTACGCCATAAAAGCTTTGGTGGTTGGATGGAGTCCCGTGTTCAAGGTGAGTTGTTGTTTTTATTATTTTGTGATCTACTGAAGGGGATACTAGTCCATGCTCTGTGGCGACTTTATGGAAGCTGGTCTCAAAGAAGTTCCTCTTGACGACGTTGATCCTGTGGCGTTTGAAATGTTTTTGCGTGTGATTTATTCGGGCAAGTCAGGTTTATATCCAGTCCACAATTTCGTTGATCTGTATGCTTTTGCAAATAGATTTGAAATTCCAGAGATTGAAAAATTGTGTTTAGAGAAGCATTGCATGAATCAAGTTTATCTGAGCATGTTTTTTCGCTTATTGATGCTTGTGAGAGGTATTGCGATTTGGACGAAATTGAACAAATTAGAAGAAATGTAGTTGCCAAAATATGTGGTGAATTTGATGACGTTGTACAAAGACCAGATTTCGTCAACATGACACCAGAGTATCTTCTTCGTTTTTTGAAATCTGATCTGATTGTTATTCCAGAAGACATTCTTTTCAATGCTCTTATGAAATGGGTCGACCACAACAGGGATGAACGTAGCAAGTACATTGAGGAGTTTTTAAGCTTAATTCGCTTCCCATTAATGGACCCTCGCACACTCACTGAAATGGAATATCACCCATTGTTGGTAGACAAACAGAAAACACTCCAACCAACAATTTTTGAGGCTATGAAATTTCAACTGCATGCTGAATCAATTCCTGAAGAAAGAAGGAAACATTTCTCCTTTTTGGAAAGAGAGCTGCCATACGAAGAAGAAGCAACACCCAAATTTTACAAGAAAGTGTTCACACTCACCTCTCTTGGATGTACAGGATCAACCATACCTACAACGTTCGAAGGACACTATCCTAAGGAGCTTTGTAAAGTGTTAACATTGAAGAATGGTTTTCAGAATTGGAAGGTTCATTCGTCAGGCAAATATAAGATTGTAGCTGTTGGTGCAAGTGGTATGTTTGATTTGTTGTTACTTTGTATTTCAATAATGATTTTGTTATGACATGCTACTTCTAAGGTGGAGAAAACTCGTACAGTACCACAACCAAAGGTAAGTCCTATCGTAGTAACACATGATGAAATGAGAATTAAATTCAACTTTAACAGGCGGTAAAGGAGCCATGGTTTCAGGAGTGTTTAAATTAAAGAAGGGTCAGAATATTAGCATTATCGTTGGCCAAAAGGGTGAAGATGCTAAAGGTGGTACAGGAGGAGGTGCAGCAGGAGGTGAGTTTCATTTTCTTTGGGTGTTCATATTGTGACAATATTAACCATTGATTTGTTTGTAATTTAAGGTGGCGGAGGTACATTTGTTGTAGATGCTGACCTTCAACAACCACTAATTATTGCTGCAGGTGGTAATGGGGCAAACTGGTCTGGCGTTCCCAACTACCACTTCGCTGGTGTAACATTCCTTTATTTGGTTCATTCGGGCTACGTCTCAGTGTTTTTGTTACATTAGCTTTTTGTTGTTCGCCCAGCAAAAGCTGCTTTGTCTTTGTTGAAGGACAAAGGCTTCTGCTGGAGCTATAATGAATAATAAAACGACTTGAGGTATGTTGTTGTGATTAGAAAAATACGGTGTAATTGTGGTCGGAAGAAATAAATAGGTGAACAATTTTAAACGTGTTCCAATTTTTGGACGAACTTTTTTTGTGATGAAAAATGCTTGACATTTTATTGCATGTCTTGAGACGAAGCCACCACCTGGCTCAGCTGGGAATACGAAACGAGGTTTTTTGTTTTCTTTGCAAATACGTAAAAAGGAGGTGACAACAACTGATAATTTCCAACAATCACAGCAATTTGTTTTTGATAAAGCTTGGTGCTGGTTGTTGATGAAAATTGTCCAATTAATTTAAATTTGAATGGATCCGTCTGATTTGGTGCCACAAATATTTTAAATGAGTTAATTGGTTCAGAATGTCGAGATGCATTTTCATTGTTCTCATTGAAATTGCGAACCTCTACGGTTGCATTGCTCAAAGAAATATGATTAGTCTTAATTTCAAATTCTACGGGCTTTTTAAGCAAAAATGCCGCAATATGATTTTGAGCATGAATTAATGAGTCGTGTGTTTGAATAATGGTAAAACTGATGTCGTCGGTTAATGTAAGTCGTTCTGTTAAGTTTGGCAAAACTTCACTTGTTTCAATATGGAAAACAGGAAGTGAAATGTTGTAGTAATTGGAAATGCTTGTCTCCATGAAATCGGTGGCAAATCCGGCCCTATAGTCATGTCTTGACTGATGGTATGATTGACGGATGGAGTTGACACGATGTTGTAAACATCGCAATTGTAAGTCTTTCGCACAAATTAAATCTTGATCTGTAAAACTATAAGAAATGGATGTCACGCTTTCTCTAGCTTGCTTTCTTTCATTATTAAAGTCAACAAATTGTTTTTCAGTCATTCTCATCAAAATTTGTTGGTTAATTTGACTAGGGGCATCACAATATTTCCTCTTTCTATCGTTATTGTATGAAAGATATACACATTCTTTTTTCACTAATTTGATTTTCATGTTTGAGTAACTTCTATGATAGTCCAATACTGTGGTTCTTTTTGAATAATCACGTGACTCTCCGAAAAATCCTTCAAGAGAACGTGTTCCCAATAAAGACAAATCAAAAACTGCATCTTGTGGAATAATTCTGATCAATTTCTGAATTGTTTTGATGTTATGGATAATGATGTTTTTTGTGAGGGTTCCGGATAATGTAAAATTATTATTCTTATTGGAAATAATGACGTCTTGGAAAACGGTATCCCACTCATTCAAATAGTCCAAATTTTCCTTAAGAACTTGCAACACTTCGTGCAAATTGTGTGAAGATGTTCCATCATGATTTTTGTCATCGTAAACATGAAATAAATCATGTATCGCTTTTAAGTACTTATAGAATCCTAAATATCGATAGTTGGTTCTCTCGTTCAATAATCGTAATTTTTCAAGTAACTGTAAATTGCATACATCACGTAATACATCCTCAGATTGATCATCATATTTGATAAACGAGCTCCGTTTAACTATTTTACACCACTCTAAAGGTTGTTGTCTATATATTTCATCGAGTGTGTTCAATTCAAATCGTTGTAAAATAGAACAAGAAATTTTGGTGACAGCTATGTCTTGATTGCTAAAATTTGCCACACACACTTTACCAATGTTAGTATGAAGGGTTTCACTCAACAACGTAACACTTAATTCGTTGTCATTGCTGCTATGATAGAAAGAAATGCCTCCAGAGTTAAAATTCCGTGGTTCTTTTTCTTTCCATTCAAATGAAATTGTGTCTTTGTCATTCACTATGAAGGAAAGTGGTATGTTGGTCGCTTGTGTTCTTTGAATAACAATTTTCATCAAATGGCAACCGTTTCCGTTGTCGTTGGAAGAAATACAAGCAGAGGAATGGCGTGCAATTTGAAGGTTTGGAGCACCTACTTTAGTGGCAACCGGATATAATTTTGGTCTCCCATTAATTGCATTCCTCATGTTTTTGCAATGGTGACTGTAGCAAAAATGATGTAGTTCATTTGGGCTCGATGTGAAATATTTGTAATTAGCAGACCCTGCATCTGACACAGTACAGACGATGTTTCGAGTATATGTGTCACGAAATTCAGAAATCGTGTCTCTAATGGTTTGTTCAGTTTCAGTAGTGCATACTTTGAAGTTTCCAGGAATTCGAACTTCACCGTTAATACTGCAATATAAAGTTTGAACAATTTTTTCAGCTAAAAAACCCTTGGGTGGAAAATTCGGACTCTGAGCTAGTGCAGTACAATCACTAATCTTCAATGGACCTTCATTGGCACCGTATACAAGCCCAAGCTTGGTATTGATTCCTAAATGCGGTGTTACATCTACTGCATCAATTTGAACAAGACCAAAATTTTGATTTTCAATAACCTTCATTTTTTCTACTAGCTTATCAAAGTCATCTTTGTCTAGTTTAGTATTCCCTTCTCCATATGATGCGGTGTGAAAATGATGGTCGAGTGTGGATGAACAAGGTAGGACTAAGTTACATCTTTCAGAAGAGGGTTCAAATTCTTGTCCTCGTTTCAACCCTCTCGCCAATGCTTCATACGCATTGTATCCCATGATAACCAATAAATCTTGAGCAAAACAAAGAACAGATGGGCTCCATCTATGGCCTCTACTGTCTTTGCAAATTAATTGTGAAAAAGCATCACGAAGATATGTGAAAAAGAAAGTTCGAGGTACTAATTTGCGACTACCTAACACCTGAAAAAACAATTTTTTCAATTCTTGAATATCCTCATCAAATATATCACATTCCGAATAATAACTATCATCATCGTTATTTTGTGATTTAAAATCAGCATGGTCTACAAAATTATGAGAGATGGTGTCGGACTTGGTATTTACAATTGATGAGTGTGTTGGAATAAATTTGTTGTTAATTAGTTGTTGCAGCATGTAATACGGTGCTGTTTGTTCTTTTGTTGAATATGACAACGTGATGTAGTCTTCAGCAAAACCATGATCCAGGATTTTATGTAATTCAATAACGCCGACATTTTTTTCTGGTTCGAGTAATTTCATGATGGTTGAACTAGAATAACGTTGTGACGTTGTTGAGGTTTGAGGTGGGTCTTCGCAAGCTGTACTTGTTTTGGAGTGTTTACGTTTTTGACGAATTCGCATCAGCTCGTCATGACACTCTTTCAATTTCAAATAGCCTTGAAAATGTAGTTTGTTGATCCATTCTGATGTTAACTCTTGATTTTGTCTTTGATTTTGAAATTTTGGGTCAGAGTAAATGTTATAGATAGCACTATCCTCGTCCGGGTCAATGCAATCAGTAACATATTGTGCAATCTTTGTTGAATTGTCAACCTGGAATTTGCAACAGTATAGAACAAATGGGACTCGTTTGTTGTGTGTGATGAGGTATGAGAAATATAGTTCGAGATGGCGATGGATGGTATTAAAATCCTTGCGATGAAATCCACATTGATCAATAATATCTTCTATTAAATGTTCGACATTAATATATTGATGGACTGCGAATAGCATTGTTTTGATGGCAACATGATATTCCGGTCTCAACAGACCGACAAAGGCGTTTCGTTCATGTTTTAACATTTTTATTGAAAAAACCTCCAGCAAACACCAGAACAAAACTTCGACAGCCTGCTCGACCTTTTTTAAAATGGTTAGGATTCTAAAAAATAAAGTGCTTTCCAAATGCTATTGTAACACTATTTCTGGGAGTTGGGAACGCCAGAAAAAGTGGACAAATCCAGTCGTGGATTTTTACCTTCCCATTTTTCGAAACAACAAAAGGTATTTTTCTCCATCATTCTGAATGGTACATGAAGAAGAATCTGGGTTGAACTGGAGCAAGAGGTCACAGGCCCGAAATGGAATTGTGAAGGTCATCCCATGAGTACATTACACAGCGTGTTGAAACTCAACGTCTATAACGAAAGTGCATGAGAACAACAAAGGATTCATGGCATGAAATTGGTAGTATGGACACCGTTGTCGTAATGACATGGATTCTCTCATCTTTGTTACAGCTTATAATTACCAAACACATCCATGACTCCTCCAAAATAATATACTCCTTCATCAAGACTTGAACAATGTTTACTCTCGTATTGAAGTAAATAAAAATCAATGATATTAAGGTAAAGATCATGCTCACTGTTCATTCATGTATATGCATGTTTGAAAATAAAATACAATAAACTATTGTGTTAATAAAACAACAATAACAACAACGACTGTGAGAGAGAAGTGTGATCTTATTAAATTCCTCCTGCAACCTCAATGGCCTTCAGCTTGTTACCAGTCTTAATCTTTTTAACATAATTCTTGAACGGTTGACTCTCCAAAAAGCTCTGATAAGTACCATTTTCATGGAGTACCAATTTCATCTTTTCAACAGCAACGTCAAACAAATCAACAGGTACTTCATCTTCATAGGTAATTTGATTATATCTTTGAATAATTCTCTTCTTGACTTTACCAGCAATGTTAATTTCATTCAATGCATCATCCTTGATATAGTTTTCAATAATATTTGGAGCCTTTTGAGATCGATCCATTGCAGTACATTTCTTATAGGCCACAACTTCTTCATAAAACAACATGGTTTCACCACACAATGCATTCAATAAATGTCTCTTGAATAATTCTCTGGTCACGTCATTTTCCAGAATTTTGTCAATATTATTTGGTACTTCCATTCTGGCCAATTCATCCGAGTTGTCAGTATTTCGTTTCATTGAAGTATAAATCAGTAAGAGGACAGGGAAATAGGAGCAAGTAGCGTGCACAGCTTGAACCCAAATTTGAGTCAACACAATAAAAGCAAAGGACAAGTTCGTGAATGAAACTGTGGCATATGCAATGGATCCAATTAACACAATGACTGTGGTCACTCGAATTTCAGTATTGAGGGAATATGAATCATTGACATCT